AGAATAGCCATCGCTCGTGCCTTGGTGAGAAATCCAAAGATTCTTTTGTTGGATGAAGCCACATCCGCCCTAGATTTGCAAAGTGAACAGGTACATCGAGATTTATTCAATCGCTTAGACACAACTTAAAATCGTCAATTTTCATCTTCGGTAGGTGGTTCAACAAGCCATCGACTCGGCCCGATCAGGTCGTACATGTTTGGTGATCGCTCATCGCTTGAGCACCGTTCAAAACGCCGATGCGATTTGTGTTCTACGCGGTGGCAACATCGTTGAGTACGGAACTCACAACGAACTTTTGGCATTGGGTGGCATTTACACTCGATTATACAATGCACAGAAATGATTGCACAAATTCCCGAAGAATTCACAGTGAAATTGTCAAATAATGGTATTATCTTGAATAAACTTTCATCGGCATAATAACATCTTCTTTGAATTAATCTACTAGTGGTTTTTATTTGGTTGCTTTTGTTTTATGAGATGTTACAACATTCGATAGAACAACATTTGAGTATTTTGCTAACTTTATTGATCACCTTAGAATGAATAATTTCACCGCTTATGTATAAAGGTGTCAAACGGACGGACTGTCCGTCTTTTTAGCCCGTCCGTCCGTCCGTCCGTTCAGAACCTTCTGAATTTAGTTGACCGTCCGTCCGTCCGTTCAGAACCCTGTTAATTTAGTTGTCCGTCCGTCCGTCCGTTCAGGACCTTCAGAAATTTTCTTGTCCGTCCGTCCGTCCGTTCAGAGCCCCCAAAAAATTTTCTTGTCCGTCCGTCCGTCCGACCGGAGCTGAACGGACGGTTTAGCGGCTCTGAACGGACGGACGGACGGACAAAAAAAATTTCAAGAGCCCTGGACGGACGGACGGACGGACAAGGTGCCTGTCCGTTGACACCTTTACTTATATATTAAATAAAAAGAATTACATTGGTAATCTCGAACTTTTCCGTACCGTTGGCCTGCGTTGTCCGTAGGTACTTTTGGTTATTTTTTGTGAATTTTCTTGAAATAAAGGCAGTGAAAATATAATAATGAAAATAAAGTGAAAAATCGGTCACTTTAACTAAAACTTCGACAATTTTGTATGAGAGGTACCCGTAAACCGATTCTTATTGGCTTTAAACTTTCTGAAGTTTCATTTTTTGGAGAAAAAATAAGATTCTGAAAGTTTCAAGTTGATCGCATTTGCAGAAGTTTGGTTTTTGGCCCTCAATTTTTTCCAAGAAAATGTCGACAAAAATTGAGGACAAAAAATCAAACTTCTGCAAATGCGATCAACATGAATTTTTCAGAATCTTATTTTTTCTCCAAAAAATGAAATCCCAGAAAGTTTGAAGACAATCAGAGTCGATTTACGGGTACCTCCCATACAAAAGTGTCAATTTTTTGAGGTTTTTCTTAGGGCAAGTACCCCAGGATCAAATCGAAAATGGCTCATCTTCGAACTTGAACTAAGTTTTTCGGATACAAAACTTTTGGCATTTCCAGATTTTGATTATCTCAATTATTTTTTGAGTTATCGTGTTAACAAACACCAACGACGACAACGACGACGACGGCACACGAACGGAAAAGTGTCTCAAAAAGTGGTTTTCTACGCGTTTCATGAGTTTTTATGATGATCTAAACCAATTTTGCGAAAAAAGTTTTCGGGACCAATTCCTATACTTTCCCTTGACACGGTGTGTACGGAAAAGTAAAATATTTGTGAATACTACAGAAAGCGTTGTGGTTTTACGTCGTGTTTCACAAAAGATTTTTTTATCAATGTGTGGACTGTGCACGGCACCAAGTCGGTATCGGTGATAATTTATGACATTTCTTTTTAAACTCATAGATATTCGTGAAATTTGTGTAATAAACAATACTCGTTGATTAGCAAAAAAAATGTCTTTTACGATTAAATGACGTGAAAATCAATGGGACACTTTGATCTCTTCTACTTCATTGTAATCTGAACTTAGTGCAGTGATTATACGAAACGTAAGTCAACGTAAACATTCTCAAATGGGAAATTATGATATAATTTGTGTTTTTAGTTTTCAAAGAACAACAAAGCCAATATTGGTCGATGATACTTTCGTTTCATTATTGATGCTGACAAAGTTGATGATATACTCGAATATTTGAATAATATAAAATCGATTTAGTAACGAAGTTGAGCGGGATAATTTTTCAGGTTTTATTGTTTTGAGGGTATCAATCATTGATGATATGATTAATTTTGACATATGCCGTTCAAATACCAACACTGAAAAATATATACATTAACATCCTATCATACAAAATGAACGCAATTGCGTAGCATTCAATTCTTTTTGCTATCGTACAGTGTGAATGTGCCAATAAATAACATGAATTATCAAAGAGAAAGGCACGCCGAGTGAAATTTTTCTGACTAACTAGTCAATTGATCATTTTGGAAGAGTTTAACTAAAAGTTTATGACTAATTTTAACTACATTTATATATTTTTTTATTTAAGCGTATTGCAAAGGATTGTAAAAATATTGTTTCCTTAAGAAAACCAAAAAGATGCAAGTTTCAGAGAAGAAAATCTACCAAAATGATTTGGATGACACTGGCTCAACGAGCTACTTTAGTTTGGTGAGATTAACATCAAAATTTGTATTTAATTTATTTTTGAATTTGTTTCTACATTTCTTTCAATTTCTTCATTTAAATTAAACCTATGCACATCTATTTAAATTACAGTTTCGATTTGCCACAAAATTGGATATCGTCTTAATACTCATCGGAATCATTTTTAACTTATTCAAATCTATTGCATTGCCCATATGGCTCATCATTCATGCTGAATTCACAACATTGTTGATCGATCGAACACTTGGGATTGGAACAAGCTCAACAACAATATTCTTACCTTTGTTTGGTGGCGGAAAAGTGTTGTATGCAAATCTAATCAATATTTCTTAAATTTCCTTAATAAAACCATTCCATCAATTTGTAGAACAAATGCATCAGTGGAAGAAAATCGCCAAGAAATCAAAAACGATTCCGTTGCCTATGGTATTCTATTGTCACTGGCGTCACTATTACACTTCGTAGCTGGCATCGTATGTGTTGATTGCTTCAATCATGCGGCGCTTCGACAAATCACTAGGATTCGCATTAAATTCTTTCAATCGTTGATGCGACAAGAGGTTGGTTGGTATGACGTCGCCGGTGGCAATAACAATTTCGCCGTTCGCATCACCGAGTGAGTAATTGAACATAACGACCAAATCAAAATGATCAAATTAAAAATAGAACAAGACTTGACGACTTCACATGCACATTCAATTTCTGTTTGCAGAGACATTGAAAAAATTCGTGATGGAATCGCTGAAAAAGTTAGTCATTTCCTGTATTTGATCATGAGTTTCATGTTTTGTGTTATCATGGCATTCATTTATGGCTGGAAACTGTCTTTGGTTGTGGTATCGTATATGCCAATAGCTATGATAACGAACGTGATTATTGGAAAGGTGAATTACATGAAACTATTTTATTAAATTGTAAAATTGACATTGAGGATATTTACAAATTATTGTTCACTCCAGTTTCAAGCGTCGCTGTCAACCAAGGAACTAAACTCTTACTCTGCGGCTGCAAATGTCGCCGAAGAGGTGCTGAGCGGCATTCGAACAGTATTTGCATTTGGCGGAGAGAAGGTGGAGATCGAGCGATACAACAAACGACTGATAAATGCGAAAAAAGCAGTGAAAGTAAAGGGATTGCTTGCCGGGCTCGGGGATGGTATCATGCGATTCTTATTTTTCGGAATCAATGCGCTCGCTTTTTGGTACGGTGTTCAACTTGTCTTGGATGATCGTGATAAAGTTGACAAAGAGTACACACCAGCTGTTCTAATGATCGTAAGAAATTGGAGGCTCTAATTTGAAGCATTAGTCTATAAATCACATTCTAATTCATTAAAACGCCTAATTTCAATTTGTAGACATTTTTCGGTTTAATTGTTGGATGTGACAATATCGCAAAAATATCTCCATTCCTAGAATCATTTGCTGCTGCATGCGGTTCAGCTACGTCAATATTCCGAGTAATTGATCGTAATTCGAAAATCGATTCCATGTCAAATGAAGGAAAAGTTCTAAACTTAGGTGTTCAGGGAAATATTGTTTTTAAAAATGTGTTCTTCAGTTATCCATCTCGACCAGGTGTTCAGGTAAATAAGAATTGAAATCACATACGGAGAATCAAATGTAGACTCAGAGATTCATATATGATTCTTCATGAATAGATTCTCCGTGGATTGGACTTGGAAATTAAGGCGGGTCAATCGGTAGCGTTGGTCGGAGACTCTGGAAATGGAAAATCGACATGTTTGCAACTGCTGCAACGGTTCTACGATCCTGACGATGGTCAAGTGATGATCGATGGCTGTGACATACGCTCGCTGAACATCAATATGCTGCGTTCGAACATCGCAACCGTCGGACAGGAGCCGATCTTATTCTCGACGACGATTGGAGAGAACATTCGCTATGGTAATCCGGATGCAACGGATAAAGACGTAGTTGCCGCAGCTCAAATGTCCGGCGCTCACGATTTTGTGGCCAATTTACCGCAAGGCTATAATACGTTGGTGGGAGAAAAAGGCTCACAACTCTCTGGTGGGCAGAAGCAGAGGATCGCTATCGCACGTGCCATGATTCAAAACCCGAAAATATTGCTATTGGATGAAGCCACATCGGCTCTGGATTATCAATCGGAGAAGTTCGTTCAAGAAACCCTGGACAAAGCGTCCAAGGGTCGAACCACAATCACTGTCTCGCATCGTCTGTCGGCCATTCGAAATGCGGATCGCATTCTATTCATTGACAAAGGACTTGTGATCGAAGACGGAACGCACAGCCAATTGATGACCCAGAAAGGGAGATACTATGAAATGATAACAGCAGGAAGACTTGAGGATGAAGATGATGATTTCATTGACAACAAAATCAAAGTGAACGAACACTATGGAAATCAACAAAAAGTGAACGGTAAACAATTTTTCAACGATCAAAATGATGGAGCAGACTTTTTCCGAACCTTGTCGGTTGATTCCATGGAAAAAGAAGTGGATAAATCTGGTGAGAATATCCAATATTGGAAAGTGTTCAAACGAATTTGGCGGTTGACAAAACCAGAGTGGTTTATAATGTTCTTGGCAACGATTTGTGCATGCTTCATTGGCGCTACATTACCCGGATTTGCCATTTTGTTTGGTGAAATCTATGGCGTAGGTTGAATATTTACTTCTGAACTAGGATCACTTCATTGAACGGAACTGTTTTCATTCACAGGCATTGTCATTGGAAGACGCAGACTCTGCATATGATCAAACCATCATCAATTGTATCATATTCTTGGTGGTTGGTGTGGTCACATTCACTGCAGCAGTCTTCCAGACGTTCTTCTTTTCGAAGGCCAGTGTAAATTTAGCAACACGGGTTCGGTAACTATACCACATTATAAATTTGATAATAAAAAGAGTTCTAATACCATGAATTGTGGATAGATCAATGACGTTTGCTGCCTTGATGCGACAAGAATGCAGTTGGTACGATGACGAGAATCATTCATCTGCGGCACTCTCGGCTCGACTCACTGGTGATGCAGGCAATTTGCAAGGAGTAAGTATATCAATTCGAAATGGACGATTGTTTTAAAATAATATGAAAATTGAATATTTTCTTTTGTCAAAAAGATCATCGGCTACCCACTTAGTGTCATTTTCCAGTCACTTTCCACATTCATAATCGGAGTAGTTCTAGCTTTCATTTACTCTATGAAATTATCGTTTGTTTGTCTGGCTTTTGTGCCCCTGTCATTGATCACAGTATTTGTTGAAGCAAAGTAAGCCTCTATTCACTAGGGTGGTCCAATCTGATTTATCATGGTAAGGTATATGCTCCCAATAGCTTAAAATTAAATTGGGCTCAAAACTAGCTGATTCCCTTTTTCAGATAAAAAAAATGTTAAAATTCAGTGGTCGATAGAGCCGTACTTAAAATGGCTGTTTTTGACCTATTTTTCAACATATATATTGATGGAAAACCCATAGGTTATTCAAATCGAATCTGGTGACATATCATTGTCAATAATTAGCTAATGTTGCTTTTAAACAAAGTACAAAACATGGTACAAAAACATGGTTTAGTACAAAACATGGTACATGGTTTAGTACAAAACAATTTTTAGTACAAAAACATGGTTTTTTTTCAACAAATTCAGCCATATAGCAAAAATACATGGTTCCAAGTGTATTTTTAACACCAAATTTGAACTCAGCGCCTCAAATTATCTTAAGATTGAATATGCTGATGACAAAAATCGAATAATCTCGGATCTAAAATTTTCTAGTAATGCTCACGTATCGATAAAAATCACGTTTTTCCACGTATTTTTCCACCAAAAGTAAATTTATGTTCAAAACAGCCATTTTTATGGTTTTTAAGGCCGCGGAATTCGAATCCACCCAAAAAGAAATGACAAAATTTTCAATGGGAAAAATTGATTTTTTTCTTTACATTTATACGGATTTTTTTGTTGCGTTTTTTCGGTTTTTATCCCATAACTCGTATCCCATATGCGATAGAGCAGAACTTTGTTCAGCAAATTTTTCCCACTGGAAACTTTCTCATTTCTTTCTGGGTGGATTCGAATTCTGCGGCCTTAAAAACCATAAAAATGGCTGCTTTGAACAAAAATTTACTTTTGGTGGAAAAATACGTGGAAAAAGGTGATTTTTTTCGATACGTGAACACTACTAGAAATTTTAATTCTGAGATTATTCGGTTTTTGTCATCAGCATGTCAATCTTAAGATAATTTGAGGCGCTGAGTTCAAATTCGGTGTTAAAAATACACTTGGAACTATCGACCACTAGATTTTAACTTTTTTTTATCTGTAAATGGGAATCAGCTAGTTTTGAGCCCAATTTAATTTTAAGCTATTGGGTGCATATACCTTACAATGATAAATCAGTTTGGACCACCCTACTATTCACTCTCTTTTTCCCCATTGTTTCGAGAAAATTCCAAAAACATTTCAATTTTTAGGCATATGTCCAAGACGGCGATTGTAGAGAAGCAATCAACAGAAATTGGAACAAAAATCGCGACAGAAGCCATCACAAATATTCGAACAGTTGCCAGTTTGAGTAAGAAACGAGATTGAATCCTTCAATTTTGAGAGATTTTTCCAGTAAAATTCTTCATTTTATCTAGGACAAGAAAAGCATATGATTGAGCGATATGTAACCGAAATGACAAAAGTATCGTTGATCATTCGAAAGAAAATTGTCTGGCGTGGTTTAGTGAACTCGTTAGCACAATCGATTCCATTCTTTGGCTATGCCATTGCACTATGCTACGGCGGTTTCTTGGTCGCTGATGGGGAAATTCACTTCAAAAATGTCATCAAGTACGTACCTTTTTTCGAAATGCCTCTTAGAATGCCTCATACATCCTTATCTCATTAAATTCTTATTGTATGTATTCCCTAGGGTAACAGAATCTCTGCTGTACGGCACAATTGTGATGAGTCAAACATTGGTCTTTGTTCCATCGTTCACGGCCGCATTCGTGGGAGCTCATCGTATTTTCCAAATAATCGATCGTATTCCAATGATTTCTTCGCCGAACATAGCCAACAAGAGGCGTAAACCGGATACAAGCAATGACATTGAGTACAAAAAGATCGATTTTCGTTATCCGACCAGACCCGATGTGCAAATACTCAAGGACTTCAACTTGAATGTGATCGATGGAAAGACGATAGCTTTGGTTGGCCCGTCTGGATGTGGAAAATCCACTTGTATTCAGCTGTTACAGCGATTGTACGATCCCGAACACGGTCGCATCCATATCGGTCTGGACGAAATATCCAGTGACATTTCACTTAAAGACTTGAGGTCGAAACTGAGCATTGTCTCACAAGAGCCTGTGCTTTTCGATAAAACAATCGCCGAGAATATTGCGTACGGAGATAATTCGCGAGAGGTTTCGATGGAAGAGATAATCGCCGCTGCCCGAGTAGCGAACGTCCATAATTTTATCAATCAATTGCCATTGGTACGTAATTGCTACATTTCATGGGTCGAAATGACTTTTGAAACCGTCCAATAATTAACTTTATACTTCCATATTCCAATTTCTTTCCTCTTGAAGGGCTACGAAACGAATGTGGGCAGTAAATCAGCGCAATTTTCCGGAGGTCAGAAGCAAAGAATAGCCATCGCTCGTGCCTTGGTGAGAAATCCAAAGATTCTTTTGTTGGATGAAGCCACATCCGCCCTAGATTTGCAAAGTGAACAGGTACATCGAGATTTATTCAATCGCTTAGACACAA